AGTTAAGTGGAATGGAATAGATGGATTGACTAATCACTTATTCTTAATTAGCCCTGCAATAGGCTGCTGAATGTCCAGGGTGTGCCCGCCTCTCACCCCATGAAAGCTGGAATAGGCTTCAGTATCTCCTCCAATCCTTAACTGAATGGATGGATGGCTCAAACAATACCACTGTGCATTTACATAATTTACACTTCAAGCAACAATAAATATAACAGGTATTGCTGCTAAGGACAAACGCATTCTCAGCCAGTCAAAATCTCGATGCCACGCTGCACAGCAGTTGGCAGACAGTGGTGCTCTGGTTCGAACTGTCACCTCACAGTGGGTTAGAATCTGCTGAGGACTTTCAGCATGGCGCGTTCCCATGCTCCCTTTTCTCCCCCACAGACCAAATATATGCATGTCAGGTTAATTGGGGAATCTCAATTGGATGTGCCTGTGAATGTGAGCATGAATGGTTTTCTATCTCTCTGTGTTATTTGGCTATGTGACACCCTGTCCAGCATGTACTCCACCTTTCTCACACTGACAGCTGGGGACCTATCCAGAACTGGATAAGCAGTTAAGAAAATGGACTTGAAAAAGCATTTTTGTGTCTTCTTAAGCTTTTCCCCTCTGATAGAATAACTCAGCTATAGCTTCTTGTACATTACCTGCCCAGCTTAAACAGAAGCCAAACAACATGATCACTACTATGTACTCAGACACAAAAATAAAAAGTGGACAAACTGTCAGCTGTAAAGATGAATCTTCTCAGTAAGAGTTTGGTTGAATCGCAAAATGTACCTTAAAACATTGAACATCTTATTTTTTGCCAAGAAGGCTGCAATTTTGCCATGTTGTATGTACAACAGTACACTTATAGCACAAAATCAAGGGGGAAAAATACAATTTTAAGTATGTTAGGAAACTACTTCAGCAGTTTGTCTAGCAGCTGAGGACCAGTGTTACATAGTTTGTCTACCAGAGGGCCCTGTGCAACTTTTATGTTGGCATCATGCATGTTTGCACTGCCACAAAAACCAGTTGATCTGAGCAGAGCTGGGCAGAGTGTGAACAAGCAATAATTTATTCTTTAACTGCACAGTCATAATATCCTAGTAAGGGGTCATAAAGAACTACACATAACAAATGTTTCATATAATGTCTCAGATTTTGTAATCAAAAAAAATATCTGTATTGGTATCAGTCTTAAAAGTCCCATAATGGTCTGGTTAATTCTATTCATTATATTAATAAATAATGAAGTAATGATGTTTACTAAATGGTTAATAACCAATTTGTCATTGTTGTAACGTTTCACTAGATCTTTACAAATACTGTAAATGATTAATAAATACTCTGTAGTTGATCTATTTGTAGAATTTTGCGCTGTCTGGCTCTTATAAACTTGTATCTTATGTTTATAGTATATAATCAGGCAGGCTGGATTATATTGGTCTAAATGGAAAGATTATGAGTCTTTAGTTATGTTCAGGAAAAGATCATAATCGATAAGCATCATATATTAGTGGACACTTCTGCTACAGCCTCATTGATTAGTAGTGAAACCTTCATCTGAAATCAATAATAATATTTGGTAATCACTAACAATTACAATACATTATCTTAAGTTTAACATGGGATAAAAAAATTGACTTTCTACCTCTTGCAAGGCATAGCACTAATACTTAACCATATAGAAACTAGTTAAATCAACTATAAATTGAAAACTTACTTGCAAATAAATTAAATTAATAATTTAAGACTAAAATGACTACTAACTGATTCTTAACTTACTTATTACACTTATTAACAAGTGTTAATGCAGTTTTACAAGTATACTTAAGCATAAGCATACAACCTCTTATACAGGCAGACTTGAAGCTCTCCTGCTGAGAGCAAATGGGGTGTTGAATTAAAACTCTGAGTAACTGAGTAGCCAAAAAAAGAGTAAGTTAATGAAATGTATGGTGTCTTAGTTTGAGAGATATTGTGTATTTTATTAATGCAGCCTCAATAAACTGGGCAATAAAGAAACGCCTGAAGCTTCCCTTAAACATTTTGTAAAAATCACTTGATGGTCTGAGGTAACATGGCATTCAATTGCAGGATGGACTTCAACCCACAGTGGCCTCTTCGGGTTCCATTTCAGGATAACAACAACTCATTTTCTGCTCATAATTTGACCCATATTGCTGTGCTCCTAACGGACATGTGTCAAAAGGGCTCCATGGCTGTAATTCCCCAAAGTCGCCTGACAGACTGATGCAATGAAGGCAACTGCGGCAGATAAAGAAAAGTCCCGACCTACCTAACAGCCATCCAGAGGTGAGTTGTCGGCTCTGGGATTTTGTTACGGTGCAATTTGTGTCAAACTTTCTAAGTGGAAACTGGGAAGGTGTGAAAATGAAGAGTAACAATCGTTTCCCAGTGAGGTCTGGCTGGACAGCAGATTTGTATTTTAAGTATTTAACAGACCATTGGCCTCCTAAATTCAGACTTTCTTTTGCAACTACAACAAGATTCATACTTTCTTTAATTTCTATTTTTTCTTAAAATTGTTATAAAAAAAGAAAATGAATCTGATATAAAAGAACTGAACCTTCATGTATTTCTACTGTATTGAGAGTTGATAAAGTCAAATGTGAATAATCATTCCTTGAAATGTATGATGTACCTCCCCTTTTTACACTTTTGGAAAAGGTTTAACACTCCACTAATTTCTGTTACTGTTGCAGCATAACAAAGTCTCCTGCACTGTAATATCTGTGAGCTAA